CATCCTTGTCAGTAATGGAATTCTCAAGTGGGAGTTCAGCTGCCACCTAAGGTGGACCTCTGTGTACAGGGCTTAGTGAGTGGTAGATTTCATAAGTGAATCTAAGAGTCTGTGTCTCCAGTTTATGCACAATAGAACATAAAACACCTACGAGAACCAACCTTGCTGCCTAGAATATAGACACGGGCAATTTACATGAAGATGTCAGGGCAACAGTGGAGGAATGATTCTACTAGCCCTAGGGAGCCACATGAGTAGAAATCTGGATTAGGAGTCTGGAATCGTCTCATCCTGATGCTTTGGAATGCTACTGAGGACAGAAATTAACTTCCAATTTTATCTCGAGCAAAACTCGAATTGCTTTTTATTGATTTTTTCATAGTTACATGTATATTTACATGTTAATACAGAGAACGACTTATTTTTACCCACAATAAACTATCATTTTGAATATGAACAACAATGTCTTATAGTGAGGAAGTTGAGAATTAGGACAAAGAGAAAGGAAAATGAAAGTCGTTAAGAGGAATTTCATTGGCTGAGTGAAATAAGACAACATTCCTTGAAGATGTATGGAATAGACCCATCCAGATTGCATCATTTCTGTTCATGTAGACTTCTGAGCCTATGTGACTTTTTTATTTATAACAGCGAGGTGGAGGAAAATAACATTTTATTCTACTTGGTAGTTGACTGGTGCCATTTATTATTTGTGAAAAATCTGTCTCCTTTTTCTCATTCCTATATTTTAGCCAGACATGATGTCATAGGAATCTGTTACATTTTCTTCTGAGGTAAGAATTATTATTAGATTTCTCATACTTTTATTAACCTTGTCTTCTAGTTCCTTCCCAGAGATCTAACAAAACACCCAGTGAGTAACGCTGATCCACAGCTATGCTAGGAGGTGTTCCCACACCGTGCCAGCACAGGAAGAACGCTATAAGGGGAGATCCAGCACTGCACAGCTTTAATAGCTTTTCTCTGTGATTCAGCATCCTTTTCACTTATTCCTCACCATGTCTGGGCTCCCATGTAGGGAGAAGACCATGGAAGGACCAATACATCTTACTTCTTTACAGCCACTAAAAACAGTTACGTGTTGAAAGTCCAACTTCCATTTTTAAGAAATCCAATCAGCTTGCTTTTTATAGACTTCTTTTTTGTAGGCAGAGTTTTTCATTGGGACCACGATCAGCTCTATTCTGACAGCCATTTCCCAAATGACCACTCAGAGATTTATTATTAATTATAAATGCTCAACCAATAGTTCAGACTTGACTTATTACTAACTAGCTTTTACAACTTAAATTAACCCATTTGCATTAATCTATGTGCCAAGGCTGATGGCTTTTACCTCTACTGCATGTCTTGCTTCCTTTCTATCTGACTAGCTACTCCTGTGACTCTTCCCTCCTTCCCAGCATTCTTTCTACCCCAAAAATCTTGTCTAGCCATTGGCCAATCATCTTTTTATTAGCAATGAGAGTAATACATATTTATAGTACACAAAGATTGTTCTATAGTACTTTTTATTATTATCCATTTGTATATGTACACACACACACACACACACACACACACACACACACTTATTTACTTTGGTTTTTCAAGACAGGTTTTCCCTGTGTAACAGCCTTGGCTGCCTTGGAACTTCTCTGTAGACCAGGGTGGCCTCAAATTCACAGAGATCTGCCTGCCTCTACCTCCTGAGTGCAAGTATTAAAGTGGGGAGCTGCCACTGCCTGGATATATTCAGACATTACAGGTTCAGATTAATGAATTAAACTGTTTTTATCTTTACATTTATTTATTTATTTATTTGGTGTGTTTGTCACAGTGCATGCAGAGCTCAAAGGACAACTTTTGGGAACTTGTTCTCTCTTTCTATGACATGGGTTCTATAGATCCACCTCAAGCCATCAGGGTTAGTGGTGAACACCTTTACTGGCTGAGCATCTAATGGGCCATCAGTTAATGAATTTTGACAATTCAAGACGCTAGCTATTTCTACCACCTGAGAGATTTCCTCCTCATAGTCCTGGAGAGCAGATACTGTGCTGTGGGGTTGAGTGTTCTGCAAAAGCCACATGGAAATTTGCTACTAAAATAGTAGTGAGTATTGAAAGTATTAAATATGAATAGTATCTTGCATCAAGAAGTGGATTCATTGCTCTGAAGAAATTGTTGAACAGTTAAGAGCCCTGGATGCTTTTCTAGAGGACCTACATTGAGTTTCCAGCACCCATGTAAGATATTCACAATTGTTCCAGGGGAACCTGATGCCCTCTTCTGGCCTCTACAGGCACTGCACACATTTGGTACACAGAGGTAATTGGAGGCAAAATACCCACACATGAAATAACACTAAAAACGAAAAAGCAAGTTTAAATAAATATTATACATATATTACTTATATAAGTACTTAATATACATTAAGTAGAAATATTAACTAATATATAAATACATCAGAAAAGGAAGTGGGACCTTCCACAGGTGCTTAAGTGATTCTGAATGCAGAGAAATTGTGAGGTCACAATCATCTTAGCTCACTAAGTTTTTTGCCTGATTTGGGCTGCAAGGGTGAGTAACTTTCGGTACACAGTGGGTTGTTTGCAGTTGCAGCCGTCACACGTGGAACTGTTAGGAACATTGTGTCCTTTAGCGAACATGTGTTAGTTACTTAAGAAATTTTATTTTGTACTGGAGAGATGGCTCAGGGGTTAAGAGCACTATACTTGCTGGCAAAACATCCTTTAAGAAAGTTTTGTTTTGTTCTGAGACAGGGTCTCATTCTGCAGTGCACCCTGGTCTCACACTGCAGCAGTCCCCTGACTCAGTCTCCCACAGGCACAAGCCACTATCTCCCGATTAAAATCTCTTTCTTGTAAACAACACTTAGTTGAGTCTTCCCTTGCCTGGCAGCCTTACAGTCTATTTTGTCTGTCAATCACTTGTTCAGTCCACTCTTATTAAATGTCACTTCTGATATGTAAGGTTTTAACAACAGTGTCATTATTTGTTTTCCACTTGTTCCTTGTCTCTGTTTCTCTTTTCTTGCCTTCTCTTGGGTAATATCAACTCACTTAAAATGTTTCATTCCACTGAGAGGGGGTGGCACACTCCTTTGATCTCAGCACTTGGGAGGCAGAGGCAGGCAGATCTCTGTGAGTTCGAGGCCAGCCTGGTCTACAGTGCCAGTTCCAGGACAGCTAGGGCTGTTACACAGAGAAATGCTGTCTTGGAAAACAAAAAACAAACAGAACAAAAACAAACCAACCAAACAAACCTCCTAAACTCAAAAAAGAAAAAAAAGGGGAAAATTATTATAATCTTATAACTGGGCAACAGCTCTGTTGCTGTTTTGATGCTCTGGCTGGCAATTTTGTTACTTCTACAATGCATTGCTAATTTGTTGTTTGCTATTACTTATTACATCGAGATAAAAATAACAATGCATTGTGAGGTTCATATAAACTTATAGCAAATATAAAAATAATACCTGTAATTTAGAATACCAATTTACTTTGTATTTACCTAAGTAGTTTCAGTTTAATGTGCTGTACATTTTGTCTTGGAAAACTCAAGAGTTTCCTGTTGAAACGCTTTCCTCAGCTTTTTTGTTTGTTTGTTTGTTTCCAGACAGGGCTTCTCTGTGTAGCCCTGTGTAGGGGAAGCTGTAGCCACGCCTACTTAGGGGCTGGCTACAGGTGTGCCTGACCATGCTTGTGAGGGCGTGGTCAGAGTGATGTAGTGTGACTTCGTTTGCGCTTTCGGTTTCTCTTTTGGGCTTGCAGACAGGCTGCTGCCTCGCCGGCTGGCTAGGTCACTCTGTTAAGTAAGGCTTTTCCCTATTAAATACCCTTATATTTCTACCTGACTCCGTATTGGTAATTTCCCACTATAGCCCTGAATGTCCTGAACTCTCTCTGTAGACCAGGATGGTCTCGAACTTAGAGATCTACCTACCTCTGACTCCTGAGTGCTGAGATTAAAGTCATGTGCCACCACCGCCCAGCCTGAGCTCTTGTTTTTGATTGTTAGACTTTTATTTCTTCAGAGTGAAATGTCCCTCAGGCTCATGATCAACTTTGGTCTCAGATGGTGGTACTATTTTGGGAGGAGGTGGAAACTTTACGGGGTGTGGCCTAGCTGCAGGAGTGTGCTCTCTCTCTCTCTCTCTCTCTCTCTCTCTCTCTCTCTCTCTCTCTCTCTCTCTCTCTCTGTGTGTGTGTAGGGATCATCCTTGGGGTATCTTATCTCTGACCCTTCCTGTTCTGCTTCCCATCTACCCTGAGGTGAAGAACCTCTGTTAATACTCCCACAGCCAGCATCACTGTTGGAGTGCACGGAGCCAAGCAACCATGGGTTGAACCTTCTGAACCTGGGAGCCAATAGAAACCCTTTCTCCTTTTAGTTGTTTATGTTGGCTATTGTATCCCAGCAATCATAAAACTAATACATTTCTCTAGAAGAAAAACCAAAACCGAAAAAAAAAAAAATCCAAAACAAGGCAACAAAGACCAAATCTGAGCCTGTAAGAGCCCCAGTCAAGATCTTTGAACACTTTAATGTGTTGTAGAAACATAGCCTGACAAAATGGTTTCTAAGGCTCTTATGCATGTTAAGCCTTGTATTGCAGTCTCATACTAGACATGAACAAAAATCATCTTCCTGCCTGCCTCTCATAATATGCAGAGCTGTTCCTTCAGTGTGTAGGCAAAGGTAACGGGAGGCCACCCTGGTCTACAGAGAAGGACATAGGTGAGTACTAGTTCATGTGTCTCTCCTCTGCTCTCTTAACAGAACCTAGGCTAACAGTTTTTGAAATAAGAAGTATCTCCTACCTTTTTCTGAATCACACATAGCACTTTAAATACTTCATAAATATCCAATTGAATCTTGGAAATTTAGGCTTGTAAACATTTTTGTACAATTATTGGATAACAGAATTCCATTAGTTATTTATCATGACCTTAAACTTATTCTCTGAAACATAGTAGCTTTCAGCAACATACATTTATTATTTCATACAGTCTTGAAGGCTAGAGATGCAGCATTGGTACAGATGGGTGGTTCTGGCTCAGTCTCTGACATCATAGGCTGAGTCTGGAGTCATCTCAGAGCAGATGTTGGCCTTCCAAGCTTACGCACACAGTGAATGACTGGCATGAGTTCCTCATAGGCCATGGCTTAGGAGTCTCTGTTCTTTGCCAGTGGGGCTTTCCCTTAGATGCTTGAGTATCCTCACAAGATAGCTGGCTTCCCTAAAATGAGGAGAGGGAGGGAAGGAGAGAAGCAGAGAGGGGGAGAGAGAAACACACACACATACACGCATGTATGCACGCGAGCGCGCGCATGCACACACACACACACACACACACACACACACACACACACACCACAGAGAGACCTAGAAGGAGGTCAGTCTTTTGTGACATAATCTGAGAAATGACATCTTCTCACTTCTGCTGTCTGCTGCTGATCTCACAGACCAAACCCGCCCTTATGTGGGAATACCCAGAGGAGGCTATCATTGTGTGATTTATCTTTTTGTTTGTTTTAGTAACGTTCATCTATCATTTATCTAAAACTTTTAAATTATATTTATTGTGTTGGTCAGGTGTGTTGGTACACAACTTTAATCCTAGCATTTGGGATACAGAGATGGGTGGATCTATGTGAGTTGAGGTTAGCTTGGGATACATAGCTGGTTCTAGCCCAACCAAGGTCACATAGTGAGATCCTGTCTTTAAAAACAAACACACAAGGGCTGGAGAGATGGCTCAGAGGTTAAGAGCACTGGCTGCTCTTTCAGAGGTCTTGAGTTCAATTCCCAGCAACCACATGATGGCTCACAACCATCTATAATGAGATCTGGTGCCCTCTTCTGGCCTGCAGGGATACAGGCAGACAGAATACTGTATACATAATAAATAAATAAATAAACAAAAATATTTTTAAAAAAACAAAAACAAAACCCAACAAAAGAGAGAGAGTGTGTGTGTGTATGTATGTATGTATGTATGTATGTATGTATGTATGTATGTGTGTTGGCCAAGCCCACACAGCACAGTGTATGTGTGGAGATCAGAGGACACTTTGTGGCTGTCAGTCCTCTCCTCCCACCATGTGGATCCTAGGGATAGAACTTACTTTGTCAGGTTTGGCAGCAAACACTTTACCCAAAGAGCCATCTTGTGGACTCCCTGCTAGTTTGTTGATACATTTTAAGTCTTAAGCTCCTGGTCTTTCCAGTGCTAGGACTACAGGCATGTGCCACCATGCCTGGCTGCTTTTATCCATCCTAGTAGGCTTATGGTTGGACTGTTAGTTCTTAGTTTTTCATCATGCCTACACGTCTTCCATATACGTGCAGATCCTGAGCATTACTGAACAAGCTAAACCAGAATGATATATGATCCATTAGAAGGATCTGAGATGGGGACTGTAAGAGGACCCAGCTGGAGCATTGAAAGTTTGAGACCTGCTTGGGCTACCTAGAGCTCTCTGGGCCAGCCTGAGCTACATGGTGAGATCATGTCTCAAAACACCCAAAGCCAAACCAAACCAAACTGAAACCAAAGCCAGACATTTGGGACTTTGGACCGCCCTCTGGTGCTGCACTCCTCAGCAGACTTGCATTTACTCACATTTCCAAAGCACTTTCCAAACCTTTCCTCAAATTTACTATGTGTGTTTTTCTCTTTGTAAATGTCCTGCTCCCCAACATAAGAAAAACAGATTTTAAAAATCCTAGTAAACAACACCAAAGTATTCCGAAGTGAGTTTCAATGCTTTTCTGCCCAATTCCCCCCTCTTTTCTAAAAACTTGCTCACACTTCAGCTCTCATTAGGAATCAATTCTAAGTTCAGGAACTGCACGCATGAAGACATAGAGCTTATCATTGTAACTCAGTGTTCCCACTGAACACAACCCCATAGCCAGCTGTGCCATTCAATCTCAGCCACACAGAATAGACATCTCAAAGTTAAACCACCCCCTCTGCCAAGTACCACTGCCTAACAAAGGGACATATTTGCTTAAAGTAGACTTTGAAACGAGGGGCCCAAGAAGCAGACAAAAGAAGGAAAAGAGGAGGAGGAGGAGGAGGAGGAGGAGGAGGAGGAGGAGGAAGAAAAAGAAGAAGAAGAAGAAGAAGAAGAAGAAGAAGAAGAAGAAGAAGAAGAAGAAGAAGAAGAAGAAGAAGAAGAAGAAGAAGAAGAAGAAGAAGAAGAGAAAATTGTGAATATGGGGGGGCTGGAGAGATGGCTCAGCAGTTAAGAGCACTGGTTGCTCTTCCAAATGACCTGAGTTCAATTCCCAGCAACCATATGGTGGCTACCAACCATCTGTAATGAGATCTGGTGCCCTCTTCTGGCCTGTAGGCAGACATACAGGCAGAATACTGTATACATAATAAATAATAATCCTTAAAAAAAGGAAAGAAAATTGTGAATACGATAGACATAGTAGAATGCATCTTCTTTTTCTTTTCTTTTGAGACAGGGTTTCTCTGTGTAACAGCTCTGGCTGTCCTGGAACTTGCTCTGTAGACCAGGCTGGCCTTGAACTCACAGAGATCTGCCTGCCTCTGCCTCCTGAGTGCTGGGATTAAAGGTGTGAGCCACCATTTCCCTGGCACATTTGGTCTTAAACAATCTTTCTATGCAAATGCCTCTAGATGATGGATGCAGTCAAATTTGCCTGCAGCTCCTTGCCTTGTGCAGAGTTCTTAGCTCCCATGCATTGCTACCTATCTGCATTGGACACTGGGGATTTGGAGACTTCCATTTGACATGGATTTCAATTGTTTCAATTTGTCTTTGATTTATAGTGTGTGTGTGTGTGTGTGTGCGCACACATTTTTCTTCTATCCCTCCTCTCCTCCAAGGCTAATTATCCTTCATCTTTCCTTTAGAGAGATCCCATCATCCTTGGCTACCTTGTCTCCTTCACAAATGCATCTAAGCCTGCTTCATCTTTGCCCAACTCTAAAAAGCTTTCCCTTGTATGACTTCCTTTAGCTGTTGTCTAGCTGTCACTGCATAATGATAGCCAAGTATTTTCCTTCTTTGCTTGTCACAGCATCTGTCATGGGAATCTGAAGTCTGCTGACTACTTTCTGTATTTTAATTTTACTTCAATGAATCACAATATCCTGTATTCTTCCTACTTGAAACTTTATCTCTCCTTGCTCTGATAAAAATACAGAAAGTTGGCCAGGCATTGGTGGTGCATGCCTTTAATCCCAGCACTCAGGAGGCAGAGGCAGGAGGATCTCTGTGAGTTCAAGGCCAGCCTGGTCTACAGAGCAAGTTCCAGGACAGGCTCCAAAGCAAAACAGAGAAGCACACACACACACACACACACACACACACACACACACATTCCCGATTTTTCCATTAGTATTTTATTTATCTTCTAGTAGGAAATTGAGCCAATTATCCAGGGATGAAAATGCTTATGACCATTTTTTGTTTCAGGCTTCTCATCTTCAGAGTGTTCAGATATGTTGTGGAATATTCCTTTACACTGTGTGAAGATGCGTCATTGTGATTGGTTTAAAAAAGAGTGGAATGTCCAGTAGCTAGGCAGGAAGAGGTTAGGAAGAACTTCTAGGGACAGAGAGGACTTAGGGAAGAAGAAAGGTGGAGTCGCCAGCCAGACACAGAGGAAGCTGCATGAACATTATGGAGAGATGAGGTAACGATCCAAGTGACAAAATGTAGCTTAAAATAAATGGGTTAATTTAAGTTATAAGAGCTAGTGGGACAAGCCTAAGCTAAGGCCAAGCTTTCATAGTTAATAGTAAGTGTCATTATTTGGAAGCTGGCAGTATAGAGAAAGACTTGTTACACAGAGCTATATCAATACTTCTTCTGTGAGAGAAGGGCAAACCATGAATCACTCTTCCCTAGCAGTAAATGACACAGTAATAGAGTAGTCACTTGCAGTGGTGGTCTGGATTCTCAGCCCCACCATTCCCTGGCTGACCCAACACCATGTATTTATCTTCTCTGAAATGAGATGGAGATAAGAAAGTCTAGTCTATGTAGTGGTTTGAGGCAAATGCTGATCATGCCTGTCTGGCATGTAGTTACTCATGGTGAACTGTAGCTTTTCTTGTTGTTGCCAAGCATACTTCTTGTGGTGGCTTCCGATTCTCTCCCTGCCTGTATAAGTTTTCACAGTTTTCTGTTAGGCCTTTTCTAGCCACACAATGAACTCAGATTCTCTGAGAGTTTGTCCAGACCAATTTTTTTTTTTTTTGCCTTTTTGCCTTTTTGCCTTTTTGCCTTTTTGCCTTTTTGCCTTTTTGCCTTTTTGCCTTTTTGCCTTTTTGCCTTTTTGCCTTTTTGCCTTTTTGCCTTTTTGCCTTTTTGCCTTTTTGCCTTTTTGCCTTTTTGCCTTTTTGCCTTTTTGCTCTCTGTAACTTCTTCCTTCTGTAGAATGTTGAGAGTCACTTTTATGCACTTCTTTCCATCAAGTCTTGGAGTCCTAATTCTATCCTGTTAGACACATGCACTTGTTTATCTAGCACCGGCCTCCCATCCACTCTTCACAAACCTCGAGCCCATGCGATGACTGAGAGTGGCCTTAGACACTTCTTTTTCATTCATTTATTCATCAATTAATCATTGACTCAAGTACTTTATGCTCTGACAATTTACCAGTTCTCTATCCTCCCGGAATTGATCCCCAAGCCTACTCTAACCATCCCTGGACTCTACCCTTCTTTTTTCAGATCTCTCAGCCCTGATGTCATCCTCTGACTAGTCTGCCTTCATTTCTTTCTTTCAGTTATTACTCTACGATAAGGATGCTCTTCCTGCCTGTAAGACAGAGAGTATTGCTCTTAAAATCTTTCTATAACATGAAGCTCCTCCTCCTCCTCCTGTTCCTTCCCTTCTCCCTCTTTTTTCTTTTGACACCAGCCCAGGCTGTCCTTGAACTTGGATCTTCTTGCCTCAGGTTCTCCAGCGCTGCCATTCCATGTGCCTGGGCACCTACTTTCTTAAAATCCTTCATAATTAAGTTTTAAACTTCATGAGTTGATGTCAGTCTATATTTTCCACCTTATCGGGAGGGGCTGTCTTCTTTTCCAGCACTCTATTCTCTGCTCACTTTCCTAAAACAGTTTGTGAGTTCATATTCAAAATACAGGTGAGGGCCAGGTATGGTGGTACACACCTGAAATCCCAACAAAGAGGTGTGGATCATGAGTCCGGGCCAGCTATATAAATAGGCTTGGGTGAAAGCTGAGATGGCTCAGCTCTTTGAAAAAAATTAAAGGAAAATAATTCTATGACTCTAACAGAGGAAATAAGTGAGAGTTCACCTAAGATAGAAATTGAGCCTAAGCTTGGGCATCGTGGTTCATGCTGGTAATTTTAGCTCCTGGGAGACTAAGACAGCAGGGTTGCAAAAAGTTTGACATGACCAGTATAGGCTATATAGTGAGTTTCAGGCTAGCCTGAGCTACAAGGTGGGACCTTTTTTTTTTTTTTTCTTTCCTTTAAAAGGTCACGGTATCTTACCAAACAGCTGTGAAAAGTAGATTGAGGCACTTGGTAGACAGTTGCATAAAATGAGCTCTGATCTCTTCAGTACTGAGGTTCTGTGTCTGAAGACAGGAGACAGGAATGTGTAAGAGCAATTGGACTGAAATGACTAATAGAGAATTCTCAGAAATTAGAGTAGAAAGTCAGATTTGGTCGGTCATGATGGCCAAGCAGGCCAAAGAGCTGCATTCAGAAGTCATATCTGCAGCCTGGCTGATTCTGTCCTTGTTTGGGAGCTGGGTGTGTTAAGTGTACTCTTGGGAAACTCAGAGGAGTTGATTTCTGTAAGCTAGGTGCTGTGGTCAGAATCCTTTCCCTTCCTCCTTTTCTTCCATCTTCCCTCCAGCCCCCACCCTCTGCTTTTCTTCTACATCTACAAGAAATGATCAACTGGGTCCACAATAAAGTCCACTGTTATCTTTCAGCTGCTGAGTGCTGAGGTTTGAACCCAAGGCTTTCTGCACACTAGCCAAATGTTGTGCCACTGAGCTAGATCTTCATCATGCTGTTAACCATTTAAAATGGTCCGGTGGTATCCAACGCATCCTCACTGTTACGAAATTCATCTCTGGACTCTGTTTTGCACATTGAAACTCTGAAGTAAGCAACTGTTCATTCACCTCTTTCTCAAGCTCCTGGCAGTCATGCCTGCCCTTTCCATATCTGTGAATTGATTTCCCTGGGGACCACTTGTAAACAGTCATAGCAGATTTAACCTTCTGCAAATGACTTATTCACTCGGTACACTGTCATCTTAAAACGTTTGTCCAAGGTTACATTTCTGAAATACTATAAACACTGAGGAAGTCTCTAGCACATGATGACATCATTCATTGAGCTGAACTTACCTGGGTTATAATTTTATAGCCAATAGCCAATAGTCCTTTCAAGGACCTAGACTTCTGGGGGCCCCGGTTAACTTGAAAGTTGTCCAACATTTTAAAATTTTATTTGGTAACCTACAGTTCTTAGAGATAGGTTTTCTGTGTGTAACAGTCCTGGTTGTCATGGAACTCACTTTGTAGACCAGGCTGGCCTTGAACTCACAGAGATCTGATTGCCTCTACCTCCCAAGTGCTGGAATTAAAGGCATGCACTACCACTTCCTAGCTCTTAGAGATTTTTGATTCTCAGCTATAGCTTCCATTCTCCCAAGGAGGAAGACATGTTAGGGTTAGTCAGGAAAAGAGGGAAGTTAAGGCTATAAATGAGTTCTTGTTATCTTATTCAACAGATATTTGTAGGTCATGTCTGTGAGGACTATATCTCCTTAAGGGGGCTGAGATAACACTCCGTCCATGCTACCCAGATTGTGTTTCACTGAGGGAGAAGATGTAAGTGCCTCAACAGTGGACTTGACACTACTTACATTCCACGCCCAACAACTAAGACAGATGCTTGGAGAAAGCTATGCTTTTCACTTCCATACAGCTGTGCTGAAAATCCAGGAACAGCCAAGGATGGGTAAGAGATGATGGCTCACCCTCCTTTTCATCTCACCTTTTTTCACCTATCTCCTGCAGCCAGCACCTTGCTTCTCAGGGTGTCAGTTAGCTGCAGGGGAGAACCAGAGCATACGCTTCTCTTAGCTTCGTTCTTTTCCTGGTGTACCTGAGCTCCCTGAGCCATCACAGTGTTTTAGTGGAAGGAAGAGTGCTGCAACCTGCAGCATGACATAGAGACGTTTCTCCCTTTCAGACACTTGTGTATGTTATTACTGTTGTCACAGTAGATGAAATGGGGTTGCCTCTGAGTCACAGTCTCCACTTATACACCCTCTCCTACATGTGTCAGCAGACTGATGCAATCTCTTTGGTGATTTTCTGGAAAACAGTCATTTTTTTTGTGTGTGTGTATGCTTCCCTGTAATATTACTTTGGTTTATACCCAAAAGGCATAAATGGG